GGGGGAGGAGTGAGAGATGACCAACCTTGAAAGGAAGGAAAGAGGAATGTCAGCATAGCAGCATAGCAGAGAGAGAGGGGAGTGTCTAGCATATCCAGAACCCCTTGGGGCTTTCTGTTTTGTGAGTTTCCACTATTTGCAATTTTCAGCAAGTGACAGAAGTGTTGTGGTGCATGTTTGTATATAGCATATACACACGAGCGTGCACACACACATTAGATATGTACTCACATTTATCAAGGAAAATTTCAGATAGACCAAAAGAATATTTTGGAAGAAGAGCCAAGTGAACCCCATGCAGCCACACGTAGCTCCAGTGACCAGGATCCCTGTCCGAGGCCACTGCTCCCTGTTCATCCTCTACTGCCCTTCACTATTTTGAAGCAAATCCCAGACAGATATCATTTTATCTGTAAATAATTTCAGTATAGTTCTAAAAGGTAAGGGCTTTTTAAATGTGACCACAGTTTCATTATTACACCCCCCTAAGTAATTCCATAACATCATCAAATACCCAGTCAGTGGTCAGGTTTCTATTTATTCCATAAATGCCATGCCTACGCAGTTTTCTTGTTTGAATCAAGAACCAAATAGAGATAGTAATTGGCTGATTTGTTTTTTGGGGGGGGAGGGGCAGAGGAATTGAGAGGGAGAATCTTACGCCGGCTCAACGCCCAGTGCAGTCCCAACATGGGGCTTGATCTCACAGCCCTCAGATCAAGCCCTGAACTAAAATCAAGAGTCAGACACTTAAAAGACTGAGCCACCCCGGTGCCCCTTAATCTGGATTTTTCTTGCATTATTTTTTCTTTCCTTTTGCAATTTATTTATTGATGGAGCAAGATTTAATTTTGGTCTCCTAGAGCTTCCCAAGTCTGGAATTTGCTAATTTAATAGTTTAACACATTGCTCTGTTCCTGAGTTTCTTATACATCCGTAATTGGGCCTAGAGCCTTGATCAGATTCTGGCTTGATGTTTTTGGCAAGACTTCACAGGGAGTGTGTTCTTCCTTTAGGAGGCATATGGTGTCTGGTGGTCTCTCTTGTGATGTTCACACTCTTTGATGTCCAATGCCTAGATCAATTAGCACATCAAGGGTTGCAAATTGATGCCTTTCTTGTTCTACCAGTTCTTTTTTATGTATCTGCTAGAATACTTGTAGATGGAGGAGAGGTCCCTCAATTACAATCGACATACCCAGTGATACAATTCATATGGAAGGCAGGATATGAATGACTGTTCCAGTCTTTCCCTTCAATTATGTTCAAATAATGACTCGATTCCCTTGCATCTCACAAAGATGATTAATTCGGTGTTTTGTTTTTCATCAATAATTTTGAACTCCTGCATTCAAACACATTTGATGTGTTTCCCGTATAGTGCAGTTATTCTTCCCTTTGATGTGCAGATTGTCTTCCTTGATGCCAGTAGGAGCTTATCCCAGTTGACCCTGAGTACCTTTGACACAGCCTAGCCGTCTTTGATAGTGTCCTTGCTCTTTGGAATGACAAGGTGCCCTAGATTTGTGTACCTTTCTTGTCCAGATCTGGAAGTAGTCACTTCTCCAAGGAGCTGTATTTCCTTCTAGTGGAAAATGGTATCAAAGGCCAATATCTGTGCGTTGGAGTAAAGTGGCTCTTGAGCAAATATATCAGAGAGCATAATCTTGGAAAAGAGGGTTGTGGTTGTTGAAAACTTGTTTAGGCTTCAGATTTAGGAATGCCATTATACAATCCCTCCTCCTCAACACTTTGATATTTCTTTTTCTTTTTAAAGATTTTTTATTTATTTGAGAGAGAGAACATTAGAGAGAGCAGAGAGCACAAGCAAGGAGGGGGTGGAGAGGGGCAGAGGGAGAGGAAGAAGCACCCCCCTGAGCAGGGAGCCCGATGATGTGGGGCTCGATCCCAGGACCCAGAGATCATGACCTGAGCTGAAGGCAGACGCTTCACCGACTGAGCTACCCAGGCGCCCAACACTTTGATATTTCTTAGAAGTGTACTGACAGGATAGTTGTGGGGATGTGTCCAGGTAGAAGTGTGGCAGAATCGTCCATGCAGAAATGCAGCATAGGGAAGACTTGGGGCAAGGGAGCATTCTGCTCATGGCAGGGCCTGAAACTATATACACTAATGCCTTCGTCCACGACCACATCTTAGGTGCAATATCTAGAAGCCACATTCTAAGCTGAGGGCTTAGAGGACAGACCCATGTGTGTGTGTGTGTGTGTGTGTGTGTGTGTGTGTGAGAGAGAGAGAGAGAGAAAGACCCCCCTTTTAGGAGTTGGGGGGCACCATTGCGTTATCAGCAAAGCAGGCCATGCCGGGGAGTCTGGCCCTGAGTGGGCCCCCAGCCTGTCCCAAGCAGGAGGGAGGCACCACCTAAGGATGCTGGGCTGCTCGGTCCCACCCTGCACCAGAGCTACAAACTAGAGAGGAGCTCAGGCGTCAGGAACCAAGTGGGTGCCAGGATAGTGTGGTACCTGTTTGGGGGCAGATGGAGAAAGTTCCAGGAAGACCTGCAGGTGCGGAGTTCCTGGGTGGGGTGAGTAGGTGTGACTGTGGCTGGAAGGTTGGGGGAGTTAGCTATTCCTTCAAAGACAGTTAAAGACCTGCCTTAGAAATAAACACGACAGCATGTTTAAAGAGAATTTTCATTCTGACTTGACTTATTTAATGTCTTGTTTGTTTGTTTCTCAGGGCCCTTCTGGACCACCAGGAGACAAAGGGCCCCCGGTACAGTATGAATAAATGAAGGGTTGGGCTTAAGGGAGAAATTCTGTTCTAATAAAAGCCGTTTTAAAGTGGAGGGGCCAAACTCAAGTGGTTTCTGCAAATCCCTAACATTAAACAGTGCAGACTCTAAGATATAACCTTCGGCCCCTGGAATGATAGAGTAGGAAGGGCAGGGGCGGTCGTCTAATCCAGTATGCCCATTCTATAGTTGGGCAGACTGAGACGGGCTTTGGTCTTTGGCATCTCTGCGTCACAGAAGGACAGCGTGGTTTGATGACTTTAATCTAATTACCAGCAGAACTAATTTTGAATCCTGGCTTCACTACCCCAAGCCTCATTGTCCTGATCAAGGGACGGATCTCTCTTTAATCTGTACAGTGGGCCTGGCAAGACCCCTGGGCCGTTGTGGACGTCTGATGGGCTAAATGCTGGGAAGCAACAGAGAGCTCAGCAAACAGTTGTTCTTAGGAGTGGCCACCATTGATGATAAGCACAGTGTATGTGTTCACCAGGAAAATGTGAATTTCTATAAACTCACCCCCGTGCAAGAGTAACACCTATGATGACATATTTTATATGTAAAATTCTGTGCACTCAAGTAATTTCTGAACCAAGAAAATGGGTTTGCATACCCATTTTTTATAGATGAGAAACCGGAGGCCCAGAACAGTTCATGGAGAGTGAGTTACTGTAGCGTAGCACTAAGGTGGAGGATATGGGGATGGGGCTCCTCTGGAGGGGTGGTTGTGGAGGGGACATCTGGGAGGTCTCAGAGAGGCTGGGTTGGCCCCGTTCCAGCCCCTGCCATCACAAAGTGCTGATTCCCCCCTGCACATCTACTTCAGGAAGATTCCTACAGGAAGGGGGAGCCACAGTGAAAGCTATGTGTGAGAATTCCTGATACTGTCCAAAAACTTTCAACAGAATGGGAGTGATTTGCTAATAAAAAGTAATAAATGTTCTCTAAGTACTGGGCACTGTGCTAAGCCAGCCAGCCACCCACCAGATGTGGAGGGGTGAACCACGACGTGCTCACCACAGGAGCTGACCCTTCCACTCAAGGAAGGAGCCCACACCCGGGGCCTGGGCCGAAGGGCTCAGAGTGAAGGTGTTCCAGAACGTTCTTTGTGTGTGTGTAACATGCCCACCTCCATGAGCATGGGGAAATGAGTAAGCGCTGAGCAGAGAATCTTGTCACACACATTATTATATCAGATTCCTCATAGTAACGGGCCATTTGTACAACGAGAACCGACTATTGCCAAGGGGGGGGTGTCTAGTTTAGCTTAAACTGTTGGCAAGTGTCTTGCCTTCTTTTTCTCAGGGATCCCGAGGCTTACCTGGATTCCCTGGCCCCCAGGGACCCGCCGGCCAGGATGTAAGTACAGAGCAATGGTATCTGCTCAGCTGAGGTTCTTCTAGACTCCCCTGGAAGCCCACCTCCACCATCTCCCAGCCTCCCTTGACCGGGAAACCCCCAGAGGAGCAGTTCTCCTCCATTCATCCCTCTCCCCCTCCCCAGGATCATATTTTGAGTTTTGCTCTTCTCTTGCTTGTGAGCTATGATTTTGTATTGCGTTTTCAGAATCTTGTTAGCTCCCAGGCGTCCCAGACAATGACTCCCACATTTTTGGTCAATTTCCCTACATCCCTAGCGGGTCATTTCTGCTCAGATCCCGTGCCCTGGACTTGCTCTCCACAGACTTGTTCTTGACCCATCCCTGCAATGGCTTTCTCCCTTCACGAGAATCCCACAGACTTACCTGATGCTCATTGAGAATTGCATCCCTTCCCACATGGTGATAATGATAATCATCTCTTATCTCCATGCCTGGCTTCTGCCTAGATAGAGCTGAGCTCCAAGAAGATAGGGACCATGTGTTTTATGCATCTCGAGGTCCCTGATGTCCGGCAGCATGCCACATGCATGGATGTTGCTCACTGCATACTCTGACCCAATGGATGGATGGCCGCGATGAGTTCCCATGAGGCTCAGCTGTCTGGCGCCATGAAGCAGTAGTACTTACTCTTAGACACGCATGGCTCCATCTGTAGATTCAGCTCACTATAAGCAAGGACAATAAATCACCCTCCCCTTCCCTTCCTTGATTCCCCTGAAGAGGAGAAAGTTACCCTCTAGAACCTGTCCAACTATTCTCATTTCCCCGCCCCACTTTCAATGTGACATTCTTATAACCAGCCCTCCTTTCAAAGCTGGTCTGCCCACCTGTGTTTGGAGAAGGATGGTGGAAATTTAAGATAGGTGTGTACGTATGTATATACAGGTACATGCTCTGTGTGCATGCGTCATTTTCAGTTTTGCATTTTGGGTCAGAGTTTCAGGAGGGGTGGCTTATTCTAAATGTTTGCCGCAGTGGAATTCTTCCTGGGAAGACTTGAGTGTTCAGCTGAGACTGGAAACCATGTGTTTTTATTGGTACCAGTCTTCACCGTTGGGTGATTTTTTTTTCCACCCAGTTACACTTGGTGGACAGAGGTTGGGGGGCATGGGCCGAGCGGCTCCGGGTGATGTGCTTAGCGCCATTAATATGTCCTGTTTCTCTTCTCTTAGGGCGTACCAGGAAATCCAGGAGAAAGAGGGCCTCCTGGCAAGCCAGTATGTCATCTCACTGTTCTGGATGAATATTAACTCTCAGTCAGGGCTCCAATGAGAATAAAACACAACTCAGATGGTCCAAGAGGCTGAAAGAGGGACTTCTTACAGAGCCGTGGGCAGGGGCTGATCTGAGATGCTGGGGGGCCCAAAGATAAGCCACAGCAGGAGGCCGACAGGACCATAACCTCTTTCCAGTGCCAAGTGAGAGCACGAGGGTGGGGAGGGGCTGCCGGTAGGAGCTGCAGTTGTTGGTGCGAGGCCACTGCCCGAGAGCTGGGCCCGAGGGGTGGAGCAGGGTCTCCCCAACTCCAGTTTCCTGACGGGGCCTCTCCTCGTCCACCTCAGCCAGGGCCTGCAGGCAGTGAGCCCCATGGCAGGCTCCTGGGGTGTGGTCTCCCCGGCATGGAACAGGACAGGGAAGGGTAGAGAATGGGTCTGGGGGTGAGCAATTGGACCCCAGTGTACATCGCAAAGTCCTAACTGGCCCGTTTCCTGCCCCTGTCCAGGGATGCCAGCACTGCCCAGTTGCCCCCTTCATATGGTGGCAAAAACTTTTTCCTCTCCCGGTGGGGACAGTGGAAGCCGGAGGGGGGGTTGTTGCAGGGGAAAGGCTGGTCTTGAGTGTTCGCTCCTTTGGTGGTCTAGTCCGAGGCTCCTACGGGCTCCCTCAGGTGCATGTTTAGCGCCCCGCCCCCTCCACTGCCGATTAAGTTGCTGTTACCAGAGAAGCCCCAAGGCTTGACTAAGTGACCAGGCCACAGCCTGGCGGGGGGACCCTCTAGGGAAGGAACGGTGAGGATGAGCAGTCTGGGGGGGAGCGGCAGTGCAGACACGGGAGAAGCTGGTCCCCAGTGAAAGACGGAGGGAAGAGACAGTAGTGTCAGGACTGGGGACTCTCAGGCCTTGGTGTGACCGACCGTAAGTCTGGCTCTGAAACCGGGATGCTCACCTGGCAGAAGCTTCACCTCCAGCTGGACCTAAGAGTCAGAGTCTCCTTTGCAGGCCTGGCCCGCTGCCTGACCCAGACAAGCACCCAAGGCAGAGGCCCCCGTGGGCACCAACAACTGTCGCACCCTCATCCGGGTTGCTGGGCCCAGCAGAGACCTGGGTGGGGACCCCGGTCTGTTCGGCAGGGGACCTACCTGTGGGACCAGAGGATGGTCACGGGAGAGGTCAGGGACCGCTCACTTACCCCCCTCCTGCCCGGAAGCCAGCTTTGCGGCAGACAGCGAGCCCCGTGGAAGCCCCATCCTTAGCCCTGTGCAAGGCCCTGGTGCAGCAGGGGGAGAGCAAGGTTCAGACCAGAGGCTAAACGGGAGATGACCTCTGCCAAATCTAGACCTTGACAGCTCTCTGCAAAGAGAAGACAGCACAGCCCACTGACAATGTGGACAACCGTGACTGTCCCATAGCAGGCCACCCACAGAATCTGGAAGGAGAGGGGGAGAAAGAGGGAGGAGGAGGGAGAATAGGTCTGTTTCTGATCACTTTTAAATTCCCTGAACGCACTGCCCACAAACGGTCCCAAGTACAGCCCAGTAGCCATCAGGGTGTCTCTGCTCTTGCTGGTCAGATAAGCCATTTTCCAGGGGCCCCCAAGACACCCTCAGGCTCAGTGATTCATCAGGAGGACTCACTGGGAGGATCCTCGGAACTCAGGGAACACTCTTCTGCTCATGATGACATTTGGTTCTGGAGGGAAGACACAGGTAGCAGTTGGCCCTGGAAGATGCACAGGCAGAGCCCCTGGGAGACCAGGTCCAGAGCGTCCAGTGCCCCCCCACCCCCCCATCCCCAGTGAGTGTGTGCAGACGGCACTTTCCTCCCCAGCCATTTCCCAGGATCGAATGCCTGAAAGAGGGGTGTAGGTGCTCGGGAAAAGCAGGACGTGCTGCCAACGAGGGATGCTCACGCAGGCTTCATCAGGCTGGGTGTCTGAGGGCTTAGAGGTGACCCGTCAGGAGCTAGCAGGGCCAGACTTTCTCTGGAGTGAGTGGGTTCAGACGCCCACTGAACCCCTCGCTGCCTGCCAGCTGACTTCAGCCTGCCCCGCACAGTCCCTGCTCCTCTGGGTGGAGAGTGGGACCCGGACGATTTCTCCGGGGCTGCACCCGCAGAATTCCTGTGCTGGGAGTCCCTGTCAAGAGTTGGGCCCCGAGACGCACAGCCTCTGGCGGGGACTCTTGTGCAATGGATGGGCTGGGGGTGAAGCCCACAAGGATCAAGGGAAGCAGGGCATGGCAGGCTGGGCCTGACCCCACAGGGGCTGCTAGGTCTGTGAACAGCACCACCTCACTGTCCCACCTGGAGTTAAGAGTCTGTCACCTCCCTATCAGTCAGTCCCTGCCTTTCCAGCGAGGGTCCCCGGCAGCTGGTGGCGCAGTACCCCGGGAGGGCGGGAGGGGCCTGGGAGGGCGCAGACTGGTTCTTACAGCCTCCACGCTTCCCACCCTTTCTTTTTCTACCTGTCCATCGTGCCTGGACTGATCTGCGCTGTGTGAGCTGCTCCTCGGAGCCCAACGTGGCAGGTGGCTAAACAGCCTGTGTCTCCTCCCCGCCCCCCCGTAAGACATTCATGAAACTCTTCCCCAAAGCCACACTGTACCTGGGCTGAACGTTCCCTCCCCATTCTCTCTGCCTCTGTGAGTGCTCCTGGCCATGTGGTCTAGTGGGGCCTCTCTGCTTACACAGGGGGCTCACACAACAGCACGGAAACACCCCGGCTAATACAGCACCAGCCCCACAAACATGGCCCGATTTGAGCAATATGGATCCTCCACGGTTATTAACTTCCCAGGGAAAAACATAAGGCTCCAGGATAAAACCTCTTTCTGCTTTTAAATTAAAGTTTCAATAAACAATATTGCAGAGGTTGGCCTTCCTCCAGAGGGTCTCGCCCAGAACCAGGGGGTTCTGGGCTTTGGCTGCAGCAGGTGCATGCAGGGTGAGCTCTGCCTGCGGGGCCGGCACGGCCTGGGCACCTCCAGATCCGAGTCTGTCAGCCCCAATCTCGGGGTTCCACCTGTGTCCTAGCCCAGAGAGTCGAGAGAGGCCCCGTGTACAGAAGCCACAGGAAACTTCACACACCTACCTGAGCAAGCTGACATGATGCCACAGTCACATGGCTTTGGGTGGCCGTAGGGTGCAGCAGAAGCCCCCAGGGGGGTCAGGAGAAGGGGTTTGGTAGCCAGGAAAATTGTGTTGGTTTCAGCATCCCCAAGATGCTGAATCCATAATTCATAAGCTGAAATGCAAACTTAATCAGAAGAAAGCAGCCCCTGCACATTCACTTGTGGCCACAGGCTTCCCATATTCTAGAGGAAGATCTAACACCTTCCTCTGGAGAATGGATTCTCTGGCACTCTTCCCCTGTGCGAAATTTAGAAGTTTGCAAAATACCCTGTCAATCTATTCCAGTTCTACCTAAGAATTCCCTCTTCCCTTCAGCGTCTGCCTGTTAATTATGGCTTTCCTTCCAGCTCTGTGTTCTTATACCCCAGTGTGAACCCAGGCTGCATACAACCTTGGGCTCCGGGCTGGTCATAATCCTAACACAGCACACTGCAACTCAGTGGGTTTGAATGTGACTCTGGTGACCTGCAGACTTCTACATACCTTCAGAGGCTTTGTAATTACTCCTGACTTCTGAAATCTCTTTCCCAGAGTTAGACACCTTCAACCTGTATAATGGGTGAGGTTTAGAATACAATTTCATCTGGGAGAGCTGAACAAGTGGCTTCCAATTCATACTAGGTCGTGAATGGCTGATGGCTGCAGCTGGTACCCATCTGGGGAATCCAGGACAGTCTGTCCCTTGGCCTTCCACAGTACCGACAAGACCTGTCAGGTTGTGATGGGGGATGGGGAGGAGAGACCAGCAGGAGGAGACCGGGGAGCAGGAAGGCTGATGTCCGTCAGACATGGGTAGGACAGGCAGCATGTATGGTTGCTGCCTCTGAAGTGACTTCTTCCCGTGCCTCCCTGGCTTGGGATGTAGACAGCGCTGTTTGAATCTGGGATACGCTCTGAAGGCCTTGTGCCGTCTGAGCAAGGACAGGGTCTACTGCATGCATGTGTGTATGTCTGTATTTACTTGCTTTTGCTTCGGCAGGGCCCCGCTTCACTACTGTCTCCAGGGGACATAAATCTCTTTAAGGTAAAAGCATGAAGAGATGTGCATGCATTGGGAAATGGTGGCAGCGGGGAGGGGGTTGGACATTTCAGTAAGTTGTGGGGTGTTGTGCTTGAACAACTGTGTGTTAGTATCATGATGACAGCAGCAGTATTTGTTGATAACTCCCTGTGTGCCTGGCGATGTGCTCAATCCTCCATCTCGTCTGGCAGCCACTGGCCACGTGTGTCAGTTTAAATTTAAGTTGATTAAAATTAAATACAACTAAATACAATTAAAAATTCAGGTCCTTGGTCATGCTGGCCACAGTCTACGTACGTAATGGGCAGATGTGGCCAAAGCCTATCTTAGTGGACAGTGCACATACAGGGCATTTCCATCCTTCTAGAAGGTTCTCTGTGGGGCTGTGATAAATGCTTGGTGTGCATCTCTTACCTGATTTCCACGATTACTCTCTGAAGTTGGTACTATTTCTGTTGTTGCTTTGCGTGTAAGGAACGTGAGGCGCTGAGGGTCAGTGGCTTTCTGGGAATGCAGTCTGGTGCTCACTGATTTCAGAGACTGACTTTAACCCCACAACAAAGCTGTCTTGTGTTCTTAAAAGGGGGCCATAGGCAGAGTCAAACAGCTTGGGTATGCATCCTGCTGGTGCAAGGGCCAGAGCATAAGGCAGGGAGGTGAAGGCCACTGCTGGGCCTTTTGGCCAGGAAGGAGACCAGATCTGGGTGCAGACTTCTGCTGGTTTTCAGAACCTGTTCACTTTGTCCATGGTTGCTAAAGGCCCTGAGAAGCTGGGCATCCCTCTGCCAAGATTGGGCAAACTGTGAGGTTGCCCAGGTCCCCGCCCATGGGCCTCAGCTCTGACATGGCAGAGGGCTGGGACAGGCAGTGAGCAAGACAGACGGGTAAGGTCTATGTTTCAGAAAGAACAGTCTCGCTGCAGTGAGTAGGGAGGACCCTTTTGCTGGCTCTGTGTCAAGCCTTTGTCTTAATTTAGGGTGAAGCTTGACATTTGTGTGATCAGCTCCTTCCTTGCTTCCTGCATTCTGAACAAGCACTTGGGTGATGTCAAAGCCACAGAGTTCATGCCTGAGAGTGAGGGAGCAAAGCAAAAGAGAAAAGAAAACCTTTTCAGAGAACCCCGAGATTTTTCATCTCTGTACACAATGAGATGCCTTGATGGAAAGCTATACATTTTATTTTTTAAAAAAAACTAGTAGTAGAAAATCTTTCCTCATTTTAATTGACAAGAGAAAGCTTTTTTTCATAGTCAAGGACATGACAAGAAATCATTACCTATTGATTAAATTCCTTGTTTATTGGAGGCTTTTATTAGCTTCAATCATTTCTCATAATTCCGTTGCTCTAGAAAGACCTGGGAAGCTGTCCTTCCCCCACAAAGAATTTAACCTCAAGATGTTCCAGTCTTTCTGCCAATGATAACAGGAGTGTGGAGCCTCATCCTTCACGGCTACCGCATTGAGGCAGACAATTAGTCCCATCAGTGTTCCTTACCTGCTGTGGGATGCAACTGTGTTCATCAGAGCAACTGGGAACCCCAGAGGGGATGAGGCACCTACATCCAGGGTGACGCCCAAGCCTTGCTGGTCCCATGGAGCTGTGCTTTGCTTGGGTCCAAGTGGGTTTCCCAGGTCAGCAGAGCCTGTTACTGCTCCAAGCTTTCTATCACCTGCTGCCGTTCTGATGTAGGGTAAAGCCTGCTGGTCTGGCCCAGGTGGCTGGTGGCAGGTCCCTCCCTTGCTGAGAAGGCATCTTTTATTACAGAATATTTATCTCTGCCCCAAGGAATTTTATAGCATCACATACTTCATTCTGGTAGTTGGAACACTGCCTGGGTAGAAAGTTCATCTCCTGAGTCCCTGGTAAATGAACTTCCACAGTTGGATCTGTGCCCAGCAAGGTCGTCCTCAGGATGTCTCCATCAGATGGCTCCCTTGGATAAATATTATTTCATCTGATCTTCCCAGACAGCCCAGTATGTGGGCACTGTTAGGTCTGGATTTTACAGGGAGAAGGTTGAACGCAGCTGGGCAAGGCACATGTTCAAGGTAACAGAGCTGGATAGCGGCAGAGCCAAGACCCAAACCCAGTGTGTCCAACTGCAGACCCCTGTGCTTGACCCCCTATGTCACCTGACTTCATCTTGCATGGGCCAGAACCGGCTGCCAGCTCCCTGATGAAGTACAGGTGGGTGGTGAGTTCCCTGCCTGCCGCCTAGAGGTTTCAGAGGTAGGCTGCACGGCCCTTTGGAGGAATACTGCAATGAGGATTCAGGTATCCAGCGAGAGGTTGGATAAGATGACCTGGGGGTTATCTCTGCTGCTGGAAAACAACAGCTGCTTTCTTCGAGTAGCAAGGACTGTGGCATCCCTCCCTTTGGTAGGCATTGGGTGGTGTGCTTACTTGGTATGCGGCACCATGCTGACTACCAGCCCAGTGAGCTGGGTTTGATGAGAACATCTCAGACAAAAGAAAGGGGACAGAGACCAGAGGGAAGCAACATTTATAGATTCCAAGGAACCCTGCAACACACCAGGTGCTCTGCGTGCGTTGCTTCATCTAGATTTTACAACAATCCCCTAAGGAAGGAGAAGGACCTTATGATAAGGAAATAGACTTATTTCTAAGTGACTTACCTGAGTGACTTACCTGAGCAGCTCCGTTAAGTAGAGGAGTTGGCAACCGGTATTGATGATCAAGGGCATCCGATGGGCAGATGAGGCAAAGCAGAAAATTCGGGGAGGGAAATCGTATGGAAATCACAATGGCAGATTAACAACTAAATTCGCCATGCTGTCCCCATGTGCCAGGCATGGCATCAGGCATTTTTCATTCATTAGCTCATTTCTTTCTCACCGGACTTTGAGGTTCTCCATTCACAGATTAGAAGGCTGAGGCTCAGAGGGGTGAAGCCGTGATCCCAGGGGACAGAGGCTTCCGTGTGATCTGGTTACAAGCAGAACCCTGTCTAGTCTCAAGGCACTTGAGGGTATTCAAGGCACCCAAGGCATTCAGGCTAGTCCAGGGTCAAGAGGAATGGGGGGCCCCAGGAGCACGGGGACCAGAGTGAGCGTGGGTGAGCCTGCAGATTGGGGGCTGGTCTCCCTGTGTTCCCTGGACTCTGGGGCTGGCTCAGAGCTGTAATCCAGCACCCACACTGTAAGTCTGGGCACTGCTACAGCTCATCTTCAAGGAACAGTCTTTTTATTGATTTTATTTATTTACTTATTTAAGATAGAGCCAGTGCCAGCAAGAGAGAGAGAGAGAGAGAGAGCACAAGAGTGGGAGCTGGGGTTAGGGGCAGAGGGAGAGGGAGAGGCAGACTCCCCGCTGAGCAGGGAGCCAGCGCTCGATCCCAGGACCCTGAGATCATGACCTGAGCTGAAGGCAGACACTTCACTGACTGAGCCACCCAGGTGCCCCATTCAAGGAACATTCCTACCCAGAATCTGTGATGAAGACAGACCCAGGCTGAGTTAGCCCTCGAGAAATTGGGAAGAAATAGGTGGTGAGATTTTGTATTATGCAGATATAACTGCTTTATGGTGTGGATCCCACCATAAAGAATGGTTTCTGGATCACCACCATGTTCTCCAATGCTAGCAGAATCTCAGTGGCGGGAATTCCTGCTGCCCCCAGGCTAGCCCCATTCCACATGTCATACACCCGCTGCTGCACTCTTGCATGGATGCACCTTGTTTTAAAGAACAAGAGAAGGACTAGGAATAGGGGATTTCCTCCCAGCTCCGCTGCTCTTCCAAACAAAAAACAGCAACCCAAACCAGTATGCTTTGGTTTATCTCTTTCACCCTCACTTTGTATATCCCGACATTTGGCACTCCCCAGCCTCTAAAAATACTTACCCAGCTTCTCAAACCACCCACTAAAAGGAGATGGTGCAGGACACTGAAAGGTCAGGTGGTCAGTAGGGCATTTGGTTGGTGGGTTGAGTCAGTTAGTTCATTCATGTATTGAACTCCTGCTCTGTGGAAGGCCCTTTGCTCTGAATTGGACGTGGAAAGGTAAAGCAACTCTACTCTGTTTTCTGAGAGCTCACACCTTGTGCTTGGTGGGGAGGGAATGGAGTATACATGGACCACTTCAGCAGTGATGCAAGTGCAGGTGTTCCTGGGGTTGTGGGAGCAGGGTCTGAAGCCGTCCCCAGTCTGAAGCAATAGGATGGCTTCTTGGTCTCGGAGACTTCTGAAGACTCTTCAGAGGTTGAATAGGAGTGAGGCAGGTGAAAGGAAGGTGAGTCATTCAGAGTCACTTTTGTGATGGAAAAACCCTTCTGTCCGGAGTTAGAGACCAAGGTGATTGCTGTCACCTGCAACATCACCTCCCCTAGGACGGAGTGTAGCTGCCCAGGGCCTGTGCAGACGCCTCCAGCCGAGCATTCCCCAAGCCGTGGTCCGTGCATTTGTTCTGTGCCAATTAACACCATTTAAGCGCGGAACTCTTCAAGATACGTGCTCATTGTGGTCTCAGAGCAGAAAGGCACAGAGCCTGGGGCGCCTGGATGGCTCAGTCAATTAAGCGGCTGCCTTCGGCTCAGGTCATGATCCCAGGGTCCTGGGACGGAGCCCCACATCAGGCTCCTTGCTCAGCGGAGAGCCTGCTTCTCTCTCTCCCTCTGCCTGCCGCTCCCCCTGCTTGTGCTCTCTCTCACTATCTCTGTCTCTGTGTCAAATAAATAAAAATAAGTAAAATCTTAAAAAAAAATAAAGGCACAGAGCCTAACAGTGGATGCTTCACAAGTAGTTTTTCATTGAGGGAGTCAATGAGTGCAGGTGGGAGTTAAGGATCCTAGCTAAGTGCACTGGGGATGATCTGATAATATTCTAAGTGCCTTCTCTGTGTTAACGCTTCTAACCTTTATCCCAAGGAGAGGGGAGGGAGCATCGCTGAGCAGTACCGCAGGACTCTGGGATAAGACACAGGCCGCGATGTGCTCAAGCCAGTGAGTTTTGTTGGGTCCGCACTGCACTGCAGACTGTAAGGTCTTAGGATGACACAGGGTTAGGAATTAGGAAATTAGGAAACGTGTTCCCTGGGCTGAGAGGACTTTAAAATCACACCAGGAACTGCACTCCCCTGCCTCACTGGGCAACTCACCGACTGGCAACATTTATTAAACACCTACTTCGGACAAAGAATAATGCCAGGAGTGTGTGGTCAGACCGGGTGTGTGTGTCACGGCCAGAAAACCCCAAGGCTGTGTGCCTGTTACTTCTTTGTTCGCAACCCACTTAGGCAAACCCAGGAGACAAAGAGCTCAGCTTCCAGCTTCGTTCCGTCTCCAGCTTTAGGAACAGGACGTGGACGTGTTATTTGTAACAACCCTGAATGTTTGCCTTAAGTCTGTACTGTTAATGCTTTTATTTTTTTATTTTTTTTAAAGATTTTATTTATTTGACAGAGAGAGAGAGAGACAGCGAGAGAGGGAACACAAGCAGGGGGAGTGGGAGAGGGAGAAGCAGACTCCCCGCCGAGCAGGGAGCCCGAGGCGGGACTCGATCCCGGGACTCCAGGATCATGAGCTGAGCCGAAGGCAGTCGCTCAACCAACTGAGCCACCCAGGCGCCCACTGTTAATGCTTTTAAATGCTCACAGATGGTGGTGCACTTTTGACATCACTGTTCGGGGCAATACTTCACGCAGTCTGGCTGGCTAGAAGTAGGGAGAAATGAGGTAATGATCCAGACGTATCAGCGCTAAAATCTGATTTCAGATGAAGAGAGAGAAAAATGCAAAGTTTGACACGAACACTCTGGATAATGACCCGATGCACTTGTTTGCTTTTCTATCACTTTCATGGGCCACCTTTCGCTTTACAAGGGACTATCATTTATTCTCTCTCTTTCTCAGGACATATGCAATGACTGCCCTCCTGGCCCCCAGGGCCTCCCTGGTCTGCCAGGTTTTAAAGGGGACAAAGGTCTCCCAGGAAAGCCAGGGAGAGAAGGCACAGAAGGGAAAAAGGTAAGGAGAAAAGGGGACAGTTTGTCTTTATCACTGCGATGAGATACATCATCTTAGAGATCCCAGTGCTGCCTCTCGGTACAAATGGGAGGCGGCAGAGGTCTAGGGGTCATCTGGGGGACTGGCTACCACATTAGTCATGAGCTGTGCCCGTGAATGCACAGTCACACTGAGCAGCACCACCGGCCCATACCCTTTGCTCAGACATGCTGGTGGGGAGGAGACAGGGACATTTCAGTGGGAAATCAGTGAATAGGTGTGCAAGGGCAATGACATGCTGATGACTCTCGGTATGAGCTCCAGACACTCATTCTTGATTGTTTTTCTTCTGTTCCTGCTACAGGGAGATGCTGGGCCCAGGGGCCTCCCAGGGCCTCCAGGAATAGCCGGACCACAGGTCAGTGAGCCCTCATTAACATCGTGTGCATCCACTCTGCTCATCTCACTGGTTAATCTACATCTGAGGAAGAGTGGTGTCTGGTGTGGAGGAAGGATGCTTTAAAAATCATGATACCAACATTCAAGGGCTGACCATGACCTCGACTATCTCAGTGACCTTGGGAACTCATCTACAAATGCGTCAGTGGTTGAATAATGAAATGAGCTAGGGGATTGGAATAGGTAGCAGTCACTGGTTAAGATGTGAGTTTTGGGGTCAGATGGCTCTGGATTTGATTCCCAGCCCTGAGTGGAGTCAGAGCTGTGTGACCTTAGGCAAAATCTTTGACCTCTCTGGGCCTCAATCTCACCACCCACGAATGGTAAGAATAAAAGCAAGATTCAGAGATTTGTTAGAATTGAACAATATAATACATAAAAGGAGCTAGTTGTTCAATAAACAATGTTATTGGGAAAGTGCTAAGCCAGCATGGGTGAGCAGTACTGCTGCTCATAGGAGTGACGAGGCACCCATCTACCATGGGCAGGACAGCTCTGTGCTTTCATAAGGCCAGGGAGACAGATCTGGGAAGAAGGAGCTGTGATTCAGCCTTAGAACGGGAGGGAAGGCTCTGGCTGCCGAAAAAGGTGTCTGGGCTGTGGTGGTTGGGTTCCTGGTGGTGACAGTAGGTAGCTCTAAGCAGAAGAGACTGTGTGAGTGCTGACGTGGGGGCAGGAGGGGAGGAGAGCTGACCCTCCCCACCCCTCACCCTTCTTCCCCTCCCCCCGGCGCCCCCGGGAGTGGGGGGGCTGTCCCTGATAGCCTTGGGGCCTCTGTGCCTCTGCAAGCTATGCAGGCTGCCCTCCCCCCACATTCAGGGGCAGGTGTGTCACTGTGTCTCTCCCTGTGGCCTGGCTGGGACACAGCAGTGTGGCTTGCCTGGGGACACAAGATGCGTCAGAAAATTGTCAGTAGGAGAGAGAGCTCAGGAGCCACACCTCCGGGGTTGGCATTCCCAAGGTCTAGCGTCTTACTTCTGCCCTTCCTTTTCTTGCTGACAAACTAGGGGATGTCAAAGCAGTGACCTTCCTTCCAGGCCTGTGGCCTTAAAACCTGCTCAGGAGATGCCCTCACCAGGCCTGGCACATAGCAGGCCCTCTGCCAACCTTAGCTCTACTGCTCTTCCAGCCCGTGGGGTCCCAGCCAGCGGCAGGGCCAGGACTGGGATGAGGACCCGGACGTAAGATGTAAGGGGAGCCCAAGACCTCAGTAACCAAGATAAATAAGACTTTAATGCAATATTTTAAGAACTTTAAAATTAGTGCGGTTGACCCACAAGGAACAAAATGTCACAATTTTAAATAAAGACGGGATCTAACCCTCCACTGAACTGCTCACCTTCCTCACTCCCCCTAATCCCAGCCCCATCAGAACCCCATTTATTTACATTTTTATATTTTGTTCATCTTGGATTATTTGGCATTAATTTTTATTTTTTAAATACGACACTGGACTATTATTTATTTTGGATACTGGTGTTTCTAGAATCCTTTACGTGTTTACACATAGGTAAGTGCTCACTTGCCTTACCCTAGGGTCAGCCTTGGAAAATGGGGTTGGAGCTCTTACTAGTATATTAGGATGCAAACAGAAATACTGTGGTGTAATAGAGCACTCACTGGAGCTGTTGGGTATCAGGATGGAAAACATCCCGACTTCCCAGGACTGCCTGGCAGGCTAAGACATCGAGTGTTTGCGGCCCATAGACTCGGTGAAGTCTTACAGGGTTTTGACATACCCAGAGCTCCTGCTTCAGGAACTATAGATGTCAGGTCTCAGTGTAGCTGGAACAAGAGATTTTCCCCGCCCATCAGGTCAGTGTTAGGTTAAGAGATGACCATAAAGCGTAGTATCACCTGCGCTATTACCCTGCTTTACCCTCCCTTTCTGGGGTTATCAGCTGAGGCTAAGCTCCTTGCCTGGAGGAATCTGCAGGCAGCCAGTTTCAGCTGATCCTCTTTAAGTAACCTTTGCTGTCAACTCTGGGCTGCTGGGTTTGCCTCTGCTGAGGAATGACTTTTATTCAGAGAAACAAAAGCAAATCAATTAAACAGATAAGGAGTTCCCTCCACTGAGTAAGGATTGTTTTCTTTATCAGCCCAATCCCACTTGAAGTACTGGTGTCTTGGGACAATGGCTCTGCCTTTGTTCCTTTATAATTCGCTTCCAGGGAGGGTTTGTTCCTTTGCATATTCAGAGAGAGCCAAAGAAAGCTTCCATCCAGAAAAAGCACAAAAAACTAGTGCCCCAGGTGAAAGACAGGGTTCTAGCTGTCTCCACTTGGGGAGTCCATGGTGACCTTGAGAAGTTGGCAGGACTGGGGGTCCACCCTACATAATGAGCCCTCAGGCAGTTACAGTGGGCAGTATACCCAGTGTTCTAAGGGCCAAGGGCCAGGTTACCTGTTTTACAGCATGGTCTCTTGCAATGGTCAGCATGATCCTAGGAGGTAGGGGTATTATCCCACTCTACAGACAAGGAAGTGAAGGCTTAGCAAGGTTAAAAGCCAGTACTCCCAAACTACTAGGTGATACAGCAAAGGGGGATCCTTGCTGGCCCAGCTCTAGGACCACCCAGCCCCCTTAGTATGCTGTCAAAACTTAGTTAACAGTGGGACCAGCATCAGCACCAAGGACAGCTCCCAGGCGGCTTCCTGGGCCCACCACCTATTGTTGGGGAAATGAGTCAGGGAGGAGTTAATTGTCTCCTTTGAGGACTCACAGGCTTGCCTTCAAATCCAAGTCCCTCTCTATGCTCTTCATTCGTCCCACACCACTCTCCAGAAAACAGACGGGAGGACTGTTTCATTTTCTCTCTATTGAACCTTGCTTATCAAATGAGCTCTCAGCTAGACCTGCGGATGTGAAGATGAATTTGTACACTGAAAATGCTACCAGTGGCCGAGCACTTATGATTATTGTTCTTGTGCTTTCATAGCCAGAGGCCCCAGGTGTTCACTGGTCCAGTGCCTCTCCAAGGGCTTTTGCTTGTTTGTTTGCAATTGTGATCCTGCATCTGGGAGATCAGCTTTCCCAAAATTTATTTTGCAGATTTGCAGCTGCTGTGACTGGTGGCTGGGTCTGGGAGGTTAATGCCACAGTCGATTACAGCTTCATTGTAGAACTTTCAAACTGTGTGAAACACCGACTTTCGGGGATGGGGTCTGGAGATAGTGGCTGCTGTTACGATTATGATCCATGCTGAGGAGGAAGAAGGAACAAGATGATAATCAGAGTGAAGACCCTGGGAATGTGCTTTTCTGCAGAGTCCAATGTAAAACCCTCTCCCAGTAGGAAATGCTGATTATTCTCTCCTCCATGAAAAGCATTTAGGTTTCTTCTCATTCATGTGCCCACCAGCCAGGTAATGGGAACTGCAGGGACTGGAGACAATAGATGAGCAGAAGCCCCCACTTGGACCTTCTGGATAATTCTGGGGGCCAGAGATAAGACCTCCTCTGCTACTATTCGAACTACCAGAAGAGGCTCTCAAATCCGTTCCTGCCCAGAAGGTACCCCATGCCATTTGGTTTATGCTGTCTTAAGGAGCATAGGTCTCTTTCACCCAGAGCTGCCTCAATCCTGGAAGATTCTCACCAAGCATCCCCTTCAAAGTTCCCTTCTGGGTCAGGAGGTGTAGAGGTAGGTCAGATATGGACCATGCCTCCTAGGGCCCAATGTTGTGTTGGAGAAGAAAGATCTACAAGCTGGTGGTTTGTACAAAAGTCAGACTGGGGCTGGGGGCAATCAAGATGGGCGGACACAGGCTGGGCTCTGGAGGTCCGTGAGTGGTTCCCCATCTGGCTCTGCTGCTTGGTAGCTGAGTGCATTTCACTTACTACTTATAGGACTTGGGCAGTTTATTTGACTTCTCTGAACCTCGGGTCCTTCATCTGTAAAAGAAGAGCCATATGGTCTATCTCACAAAGAGGATGTGAGGATTGAACAAGGAAACATTTACAGAGCACCAGGCGTGGAACCAGCTGGGTACATCTAACCGCAAGTGGTCCTCATAATTGTTTCTCTAAATGAATAGCAGTTGTAGCAAATGGTCAGGAGAAGAGTAAATGGCTTTAAGGAAAATAATGCCATGGGGCAAGGGGTCACCTATGAAGGCCACCTGGAAGAGGTAGGATTTTAGTTGCATTGGAAAGTGAGGCAAGGATTTGTCAGACGTCCTTGGCGAATGGCTTTCTAGGCGGTGAAACAGCACACAAAAATTCAGGGCCAGGACTTACTCTGCTAGTAGCAGAGAATCGTTAATTTGAGAAGGTTTGGGCCCTGCCCTCCACAGTTTGTAAACCCCTTGAGAAAATTGCCTTTTTGGTGGATTCACAGAAACCGACATCCTTCAAGCAGTTCCTGGTATGAACACAGCCTCTAAGTAATTGTTACATTGTGCGCTTAGCACATGATGGTATTGAGGAAATATAATTAAAAACTAAAGAAAATCTTCTCCCAACCCAGGAAAACCTCTCGCTCTCTTCTGTAGCCCGGCAGCCATACCTGCTGCATACAAGTCCTCAAGATAAACAGTAACTGGTCCTCAAGTCAGAGGACTTGATAGCACCATTCTCCAGACATGTTCATCCTAAGTTGACCTGGGAGTTAGGGGATCATCTGTGTTAGTTCATTAGCTTTTTAGGAAGGAAAAACGAGCTTTCATCTTTACGACAGGAGGTAGTTCTGCAACTTGGAGCAAGAAACCTGCTTTTCCCTTAGGCTCCCTTTCCCCCATGGAGACTGGGGGATTGGGGGAGCTCTCTTCCTTGATGATTGATTATATTTCAAAGGGACGGATGCCAGGTCCTAGAGAAAGACTTTTCTGAGTCCTGGATCTGGCAGGACTTATTTAGCTTTTAAGAGGATTTACATACATTTCAAAGAGACAGAGAACAGACAGTGACAAGTTTTCTAAAGTAAATGCTCTAAGAAAAAAGGTTTGGGAAGAGAATCTCTTCCCTTCTTTTTATGGGGGAGATTTAAGCCCTGACAATGGCTCTGAATAAACATCATCTAAGAGAACTGAGCTAGTAAAGTAATGAACTAGTAATCTCTCTAGAATATAAACTCCAGGTAGGCAGGGATGTTGTTGTTTCCTTGATTGCTGTATCTCCAGTGCTTTTAGAAAGTTTCCCGGAGCACTCTCAGTCAGACTTCTAGGCTGTAAATGCTATGCTCTTGACATTATAAAACCAGTGGGACAAGGCATCATGCCTATGGAAATAGCCAGAAAAGTAACTTGGGCGGGAAGAGGCAGTTTGAATACAGATAGATCTGGATTAGGCTCCAAATCTTGCTTTTTGTTAGCTGTGTGACCTTGATGAATGACTTAACCTCTCTGGTCTTCAGATTTTTTATCTATACACTCTGGTCAGACCCCCACCGCATAGAGTAGTCTTACTGGCTAAATTAAATAACCGGGCATGTTAAATTTTTTTTTTTTTTTTTTTGCATCAGCTCAGGATATAAACAAAGAAATACACGGAATGGGATCTCATGTGGAAAGGCCCGGCAGTGTGCCCAGAGGAGTAGAGGCTTGGTAAATGTCAGTCCTCTCTTCTGGAAGGAAGTGAGTCAGGGTTGGGGGTGGCTGTGTTTGCTTTGATCCTTAGCTGCAGCAGAGAAGGAGACAGGACAACTGTGGAGATCCTTGAGCTCCTGACATTTTCACTGCTGGGAGTTGAAGGTTGAAACCACCCTAAGCCCAGACTGAGGACTGGGATTTGAAAAGAAACCATTTACTTTTAAGGCAATTGTCCTAAATGTCAGAGAAGCAGTGTGCTATTCTATGTCACTTCTTTTCATTGAGATTATAATACGGCCTGCAGACAGTTTGCTGGCTTTATAGATTGAAAAGCAGTAGAACTAATTACATGTAAAAATGTTGGAACAAATGCTTTTCCCCTTGTGAACCTTTTTTTCTCCTCTGCACACTGGCCTTTGGCCCCCAGCACGGCTCAGGGAGGCAGCCGGGGAATGTTATAGGTCCTCAGTGAGCTGCTGACATGGCATAGCCATGTGGATGGGAAGAGGGCTGGACCCCGTGTTTCAGGGGGTGAATTGTGGGGCTCTGCACCTGGATGGACTCTCCTAGATTGACCTGCCCCCCTGTGTCCTACATTTACTGGATGAATAAACCCAGAGCACAGAGGGGATGTGATCTGCTCAAGGATGCAGAAATAAGAGGTGACAGGCCTGGAGCCAGAGCCAAGGTTGACTTATTGCGAAAGACTTATTTTACTGCATAATGCATACTTTTAAAGGAACTGACATGTTTTTGGTTAATAACATTTTACTGAAATACATTTGTTGCCACAGTAAATGCAGAGCCAAAATAGGTGACAGTTAAGAGAGATTGGAACCTTTGAATGTAACTTTCAAGGTTAGTCTGTGAAAAATATTTTTGATAGGTTTCATATCATGAGTGTCTTAACCACAATAATGACAGCAATGATGATGGTGGTGGTGGTGATCATGTTGATAGAGGTGATGGTGATGATGATGATGATAGTGATGATGGTGAGGATGATGATGGTGAGTTTGATGATGGTGAGGATGGTGATGGTGATAATGATGGTGAGGATGATGATGGTGATGATGGTGAGGATGATGATGATGATGGTGATGATGATGGTAAGGATGCTGATAGTGATGATGATGATGGTGATGATGATGGTAAGGATGCTGATAGTGAGGATGACAATGGTGATGATGGTGATGGTGATGATGATGGTGAAGATGATATGGTGATGATGATGGTGAGGATGATGATGGTGATGGTAACAGTGATGATGATGGTGGTGATTACAATGATGAGAAGGATGATAGCTAACAATGAATTCATTACAATGATAGCTTAAGCACTTTGTAGATTTTAGGTCATTTAATGCTCACAACAATCCCATGACAAAGGTTCTGTTTTTATCATTCTCATTTTAAAAGATGGAGACAGGGTATTAAAGAGGGCACATACTGCATGGAGCACTGGGTGTTATATACAAAAACAATGAATTGGGGATCACTACATCAAAAACTAATGATGTATTGTATGGTGACTAACGTAACATAATAAAATTTAAAAAAATAAAAGAAAGAGACAGAGTTGAAGCAGGTTGCCCAATGACAGGGTTAGTAATGACAAAGCCAGGGTTCAAATACAAAATAATTTACAAAAATAATTATAACTAATGTTTATTGAGCTCTTGCTATGTTCTGTTCTCTGTGCTGTGTCGATTTTATTCTCCCAACACTTCATGAGATAGGCAATCATAATTTTCTCTATTTTATAGATAAACAAGAAATCCTATAACTCACAGTTTAAGTGACCCACTCAAGGTCACACAGCTAGTAAGGGAGGGAGCAAGGAGCATACATATGTATGGATGGAGTCTTCTTCCTCAGCCTCTTGGGCAGTGCTGTCCCATCCACTGTCTCGGCTTCTCCCTCTTCCCACCTCACACCAGACACTATGCTGACTCGGCTCCTTTCCCTCCCACACCCAAACATCCCAGTTTCCTCCTGATTGCCCCTCCTCTCTTCATCCTGGGCCTTCCAGCCCACCCTGTACAACAGTCAAGGAGCCCTTCTGCAACCAAGAGTAGTGATATATCCTTCTCATGGTTCCCAGTGTCTGCAGCTCAATCCAGGTTTAAGGGGTAAACATCCAGGGCTCTCAGTGAGGTAGGTACTGCCTGCCTCCCCAGTTCCATTTTCCACTGACCCCCATTAGCACCCCACAACCCAGTTAAGCCATTCCATCAGCAGTTCCTCAACCAGACTCCCTTGCTTCTCTCTGCGGACACCATGCCTGGCCTGCAGCTCAGACTTGGTAAGAGTTGGATGAAGAAAGAGTAAATGGATGAATAAATGAATACATAGGTAGATGAATGCATGCAAACTTTTTTTCTTTTGCAATGTAGTTCTAGCAAAATTTCCAGTAAGCTTCTTTCTTTTTTCTCCTAAGGGAAGTAAAGGGGAACGTGGTGCAGATGGTGAAATTGGACAGAAAGGTGACCAGGTAAGAACTTACTTTATAATGAACCTGAAGAGACATCACTATTTCTCCTAGATGAATTTCATTCTGCCATTTCTGACATCACCACTCGGATCTTCTTTGCTTGCAGTAGGATTTTTTTTTTTTAACCACATTTTCATGGTTTCCATCTTGATTCCTGTGGTTCATTGTCACATTCTCCTTCCCCAATTATCTGAGCAGACTGCCTTTTCTGATTTCCTTTTGTTTTGTTTTTTCTGGACTCTCTTACACTTAGAGCTCTAGTTCACTAAAATGGTTGTCATCCATTACACAATGCCCCCTTCTTTCCTCCCTCCTATTACTCCTCAAGTACCTATCACAGAACTCACGGTGCTAGTTGAAATGTTACACAGATGCCCCTTCTGTGCTCAGTGCCCAGCCAGCCCTGTTGGACCACTTCTCCAAATGCATTTTAAGAGAGCGCCCACGCAACATACTCCTCTGTCTCTGGGTTTGAACACGGCATCCCCATCATCGTTTATCTAGTGTTACCAGCTGATTCTGCAGCCCAGCTCCCCAGCCTCCAACAGCCTTTCTGCCATTTAAACTGGCTCCTGCTTGGCAGCTGTCTCTCTTCCCTTTCCCTTTCCTCCCTCCCACCTGCCCTCTGCTCATCACTCCTCTGTGCATCTCCCCATCGGTCCTCCTTGTAACCAGCTGCATGCCAGGCATGGCACTAGGCTCTGAGATACAGAGGGGGTAATGGGCAAATCCCTGACCTCAAGGGGCTTTCTGCTCCATGAGGGTGAAGCAGGTGAGCAAGCACTCCAGAAGCAGTGAGTTCAGAGCTATGCTCAAGGTCAGAACGACATGCTCAGCTAAAATTCCCTCTGTATTTGGAAAAACAAAATGTGTTTGGGTTATTGTTGCAACAGCGAATTTTCAGAATTAGTATGCTCTATTCTGACTGTTACAGCTTGTGTTTCCCAGTAGCAGGAGATAGAGGTGGAGGGCAGGGAAATTTTCCACGGTGGTGTGTCTGCTTTTATAAAACATTGTCTTACAAAGACTAAACATTAAATGCAATCCCCTCTGGCTGTTTAGCTCCTGCTGTAATACACATAGACTCTGCTCTGCATGGAGACATGACTCTCTTTCTTAAAGTAACTGCAACACTGTTACAGTAAGGATGCCATGATTCGATAACCCCAACAGTTTCCATTGTGAGCGTATGTTGTGTGTGCATATGCATTTATTTGCTTCCAGATTTTTATTATGGGATGTTTCAAGCATACACAAAAATTAGAAAGCATAATAAAAAGACCCTCCCCCATACCTATCACCTAGCCACAGGATCTTGCAGCCATTATGGCCACTTCCATTTTCGTCTGTGTCCTCAACCCCTTCCCCACACCGTCTTCCTTCACTTTATGTTGAAGCAAATCCACTTTCAGGAGAGATTCGTTTTTGTAAATATTGTTAGATACTTTCTCAACCTATGGAAACACCAGCAATATATACAAAAAAAGAAAGTGTTTTTGTTGCCAGTGCCTTTATCCAAAATTGTTACTGGAGTTAGAAGTCAGATTCTGGATTGTTATCTGAAATTCGGTAGTCACCAAAGTGAAAAACTTCTTATGAGTCATTTTGAAGAATTGCCTCTTGTGTTTTCCTAGGGTCATCCTGGAGTTCCTGGTTTCATGGGGCCCCCAGGGAACCCTGGGCCACGGGTAAGTGATAATTTTGAACCCCCTCCTCTTTTGGCTTTGACATTTGCACACATTTCCATACTCATTGGACCTGCCTCTTACTTTAAGGACCAGGCTGACACCTGAAAGGTGTCCAGGGCTGAACAGAAGGTGCAGGTCCCAGAGGTACAAGGGGTCAAGGATGGGTACTTGACTCCAAGGGACCCAGTGGGGTCAAGGACGGAGTGACTTGAATAGGTGGAGCTGCTGGGCAGTGCAGTTAGAATGCTGTTGGGACCAGGGCGGCGTTGGCAGGGATGGGCAGGCTTGATGTATTATTAATTTCCATCTATCTGGGGTGGTGGGAAACCCGAGATAATTGCAAGGTTAGGATCTTTTGTGAGAAATGGAGAAGCAGCTTCCCCTCTTCCATAGGATCCTGTCCCATGGCAAGAGGCTCTGGGAATCACAGAGTGTCTCCATAAGCACAGACTTTCCTGGATTTACTACAATTAATGACAATAATAAATCACTAAAAAATATTATTATCATTGTCACCATCTTGAACCATTCATTCATTATCGTTCTAAGGCACTTGTCATCAATATACTGTAGATACTGTGACTATCATCCCATTTGCCCCCATTGGGCCCCCTGAGCAAATGTTCTTCCTTGCTCTGGTAGTAACTGTATCTCTGACCCCGACTGATGCACTTCCTAGCAAATCTGTCTCCCTTTGGTCTAAACTGCCCACAGATTAGTCTTGTTGCTCCTGTGCTCAGAGTCCACCGTAGTTGATGCTCACGTATCCAGCCAGGGTAACCACGGTAACGGGCAGCGCGAATGAGCATCCTCACCAAGCCCAGGACCGGTCCCCTGCGACTTCCCATGTGTTCTCCAGGAGCCCTGGCCACCCCCAGACCTTGCAGAATGAGGGATTACTGGTAATGGCTAAAGGACAACCGAAGGGAACCCACTGCAAATCGGGACCAACCTAACATAATCAATAAAGAAGCAGAGGCTGGGTTAGGATCATGAAGTTAAAAATGTGTGCCATTAATCTTGCCTTGTCTTCTTTTTAACAACCCTAAATGACTTCTAATTGTAAGTATGTTAATTCTTAGAGTAAATTAGGTCGTTTTAAATGTATTTTTTTCAATAAAATTGTACAGGAGCATGAAACTGCATCTTTTACTTCAAAACTGACTTTTACAGCAAACTCATAAAAAGTACATTAACTACAAAAGTATGAAAGCTTTCCCAGTTTACTGGTGAGCTCACCTCAAATCTTGGATCCTCAGCTCACGTCCCACCTTCCCCCCCACCCACCGGCACCTTTGTAGTTAGTATCCTTTTCAGTTTCTCAAGACTTCATGCCTCACTGTTGCGTCTCTGCCGTGAGCGAGATTGCGAGCTGCCTTGCCAGGGGATGGGTCAGTCTGTTGCCATTTAGGTTCATGAAATTCTGCGTTTTCTTTAAAGAAATAATTTCACAGGGGAAATCCCTTTGTATCGTATTTGCTTGTGTTCCTGGATTTTGTGGCATCTGACGCTCAGGCACAAGAGAAACTGATCAAGATGGCAATGTTACAGATAATGGTTAGTGCGAATTGAGGAGGGACATTTGAGAAGGAAATAATTTCATATTACAGTTTTCATATCACAACGACTTTAGCTTCTCCATGCAACCTAATAGCCGAGGGGCTCCCGAAGTGAAGGTGGAGTAAAAGCCCCATCCCCACCCCACCCTGGTCGCTCCAAAGCCTATAACACATCTCCTGTGCAAATGAAACCATGTTCTCTTCTCCTTGGAAATTGCTCTTTGGACTCTATGACAGCTGTAGGAAATGGCTCCTGGCTTATGGTTCTCATGCTAGATGATGAATCTGGGATTCAGAAACAGTCATAATCATAGGGCAGCTTCTCCATCTCCATCTGATCAATGTGTTCAGTTCATTCAGTTGATGTTTACTGAGCTTCTGCTTTGTGCCATGCTCTGTACTGTTCTTTGTCATTGGGAGTGGATGCCAGTCGCCCGTCCATTCGGGTTCAGTGGCCAGTCATGCAGAAGCAACTCGAGAGCAGGAAACCCTCCTGGTCATTTATGCATTGTTTCTTCACGTGCTTCCATGTCGGACGCTGTAACCAGGGATATAGATACCAAGCAGATAAGGCTCTTTTATTATTTTTACTTCAAAGTTGATTTCCTGGTGCTCAGTTGGCCTCCTTCTTTTGGAGCAAGCCCTTACCCTGTTCCCAACCTGCTGTATGGAATTTAATTCCAACATAGCTAGGTTCCAGGGTATAGGGTGCTGTGGGGTTTTGGCAAAATTATATAGAAGAATCCAGTAGAAACGCCATTGTTCTGCTAGGTTTGAACTAGATGTGGAGGTTCCCAGCAGCGGCATGAATCTTGGGCTATGTATGCAGGTATTATCAACATCCCTTTATTTCATGAACATTTACTGGCTCCTCACCTAGTGAAAGAGGTGGAGGCGAATCTGACTGCATCTTATCCCTGGGGATTTACCTTACATGGCCAACAAGACCTATCTTCCATAGCTGTATCAAATTTCCTTGAGGCCCATGATGTAGCCATATCTGTAACCCTAACAATTGGCCAGCGCTTGGTACGACATAGGCACTTGATAAGTGTATGTAAAAAACCTAAAGACTGCTGGAAAGGTACTGCAAGACCTTGCTTATTTGTCCTCCCACACTTAGTTCGTATCTGCAGTGTTCCCAGTCATGGACTGGCCAGTAGACACACTGCTGTTATCAGTGCTTGTGATAACGAAGAACCCTTTAGGGAGAGCCCTTAGTGAGTGCCAGGGCTGGCTAACTCTAGGTAGGAACTTACTCAGTTCTCTCAACAACTCAAGTGAAATAGGTCCTCTCTTTCATCTCCAGTGCACAAAGGAACTGAGAGATACAGAGGAGTAAAATAATGTGGAGAACCAGGACACGGACCCAGGAACTCTGGCTCTGGGAGGGTGCACCCCAATTAACACCCTCTGTTCTGTGCTAAGCACGCTGTAGGCAATGCCTCCTTACCCTCCTTACAGCCTGGGCAATCATATCACTTCCAGCCTTTTACCAACAAGGACACTGAAGTACCACTTGACCAAAGCTAGAAAGAAGCAGTGTATTCGTTAGTCTAAAGAATCTCTGCCCCATCTGCCAGCCAGCCCAGCTTTTCATTTATTCATTTATTCAAGAAATAGTGAGCACCCGCTATCTCCAAGGCACTGTTTTAGCTCCCAGTAAAGCAAATAGTCAACAAACACTAGGGTGTCAGAAGGCGACAAGGCTAGGAGGAGCATAAAGACGTTAGAAGGGGCAGGAACTTGGGTTTTGGATTTGGGAGGCAGGTAATTTTTCACTGAGCTGGGATGGGGATGAGGGCAGGCTGTGAAATCTGAGCCCTGGGGGATTGGATTACGGGGGGTGGGGGGTGCAGCATGGGAGAGAGCCCGCAGCAGAGGCAGATCTGGGCTCACTCTGCTGCACTTACTCACCTGTGTAGAGCTCCTTGTTCATGGATCTGTCCATGCATTTCTCATCCCTGGGTTGACACAACCAAGTGCCTTCCCTGATGACCTGGAACATAAATCCAGTTGTTCATTTTTGCCTCTGTCCCGAAATGTTCCCTGATATTAGCTAAAACTACCACTCTGAAGTGAGACCGTTTACCGTTGTCTTAGGGATGACTGTGGGTACTCTGGTCCTTTGTGCAATGCTTTGTGCAATGTGGGTTCTGTGCTCCCAACATCTTTGTCTTCCCAGAGTACTGCCCCACCTGCTCGGGAAGGCAGAGGCACGTCCGGAGTACTTATGGTTCCAGCCACCAGGGAGGGGCTCAGGATGCACCTTTGTGCACCATGTGCTTCGTGCACAAAGAGGCGCTAATGATCATGGTGCAATGTACAACAAACTAACTTCCTGCTCTGTCATCCGTAGGGAGCAGACGGAATTGCTGGAGCTGCTGGCCCTCCAGGAATCCAAGGGCCGCCGGTAAGTTCCTCGGTGGACTGGATCTGCCTTGAGTCTGTGTTTGGGCGTCCCCAGAACCCAGGTGTTTGCCATCCCTGCCCTGGTCCTCCCTACCTCCTTGGCTCACTCATCCCAAGTATTCACAAACGGTCTTGCAAGGAAACCGCAGGAGGGGGGCGCTTTCTGTTGGAGCCCCGGGTTCTTGCCTCAAAAATAAAGGTTTGGTTGAATGATGTGGCAATCCGTGATTCCAGAATTTGGTTTACAACCAGCTCACACAGGCCCTGTGTCAGGTTCTCTCCTCACAGGCCCAGGAGAGTAGAGAAGCTGGAGCTGACCCATGCTGAGGCTACTGTGTGCGTCAAGAGGCACGTTGGGCGGAGTAGCCCCTATTACCCAAGCGTTCCAAAGAGGGGAGGGAAGTAAGAAAGGGGAGTCACACCACAAGCTGGCTAGCTGGCAAGCAGGTCAGCCCTGCCCTGGGATGTCTGGACTCTAGTGCCAAGAACACTTGAGGGATCAATTAGGACAGCTTCCCCATCCTGGGACAAGGAGGACAAAGCCCAGTGGGACTCGTTCACTAGTCCAAAGCCACACAAGAAATCAGTATCCAAGTTGGGAGTGAAGTCAATTGGGAAACCCCCAACTCCATGTTCTTGCCGTTCCTCACTGACCGGCTGTTTGGGGTGGTTGGGGTGGGGCTGCAGGGGTGTTGGATTTGAAAACTACCAGCCACGTGGACTGTCTTACCTTCCTCATCTGGCCAGTCCTATCCAAGCAGCCCACCTGCTTTTTACCGATTCTCAGATGGCAAAAGATCTCCCCAATAAAAACAAATGGACTGTGTGCTTGAGGAGAATCAGTTGCGGGACCCAGATAGGAATCATCAGGTACTTCAGAATTAAACTGTATTGAATGAGACGTTGATTCTGTCGTGGGGGACCCTGAGGCAAGCGATGGCTGTGCTTGGAGCTGTCTGGGGTCCTGTTATTCCACTGTATACATCAAACCAGAATATACTCCAGATTTTCTTAGCATAACTAATGAGTGTTGGTAGTTAAAAAAAGAAATAAGGAACACTAAGTGGGACGTAGTAAAAAAAAAAAGATACATAAAAACTGAAAACATTACCATTATATTTTGAATTGAAACATACAAACCATTTGCCAATCTTTTTGACATAAAATGAAGACCTTACTTGATTTGGGGTCCTCAGCATGGAGTCTCTTGTCATTATCCTTGTAAAAGGAACATCTACTCATTTACTATGTGGTTTGAGAATGTAAAAACACCTGTGGAGCAATTTGAATGTAGAATCCTGGATCCTGGATTGTTAGGATATTTTTTTTCCTAAACTTTCATAGCTATCCTATTACAGCGATCTGGATAGTGAGTCATCTTTATAAAATATTTTTGAAGTCTTGACTTAAAAATTGTTCTTTTTCTTTTTCCACCTAAATTTAATGGGGTTACCTAAAGAATAATTAAATTGTGTAATTTCCGTAGCAAACCACAACTTGTACAATGCAAACAGGTTTAGGAACGAGCATGCTGACTCCTTGTGCATCTTCAGCTCATCAGATGGAAGCAAAAAAATCCCTAAACAGTAGATATGTTAGTCTCATGGGCCATGTGGTCTCTCTTGGAAAAATTCAGCCCTGCTCTGGTAAGGTGAAGTCAGCCACAGTCAATAGGTCAACAAAAGGCTTCTGATAAAGCTTTTTTTTTGCAAAAATAGCAGAGGGCTGCATTTTGCTGACCAATAGTGGTTCCATCCCTAGGGTCTATGGAACAATAGACATTCAGGAAGGAATCCAGGGAGCTCTATTATCAATATTTAAAAATCCGTAAAGATGACTATGTGTTCCAAGTTGACTCAAAAATATCCACTCAGTTACGTGTTTGTAGGTTTTGTGATATGGGAGGCGGTGAATATTTCTGCTTTACTGTTGCTATTTTGTGTTGGTCTAAGTGGCATGATGGCTGGGCGACCTCAGATATCATGGCTCATCATGTTACAGAGATGCAGGGTATGCCAAATTGTTGTAAGTGCAAATGCATCACCTGAGCATTCCAGTTTCTAAAATTAAGAGTAACCCTTCAAACATGACTGCGTAACCAAATAGTAGTAAACCTCAAACACAGTCTAATCTTCCTCAATTCCCAGGGGTCATGAAAAAGTTCTCATCCCTTAATGACGTATTACTAATAGCTTCCATTTTCTTCAGGTGGGGAAATAAGACTCAATTGTGGAGTTTTTATAAGTTTAAGTAGCACTTCATAAAGGAAATGTGCTTTGGGTCCCCTGATTGGACGCTTTTTACAAGACAATATATAAAATCTGCATAAATCTGAATTAAATATCAAAGTCGTTTTGCCTTTCGCTTTTCTTGCAAGAAGCTAACATCACAACCCTTAAGAATACCTCACTCTGTGTGGATGAGAATGTAAAACCTGACATCAGCATTTTATCACAGAAGGAACAGTGATGGGAGAGATTATAAAGTTATAGGGGCTTCTCGGGGGAATCCGGAGGGGTGGACGAACCATGAGAGACGATGGACTCTGAAAAACAAACTGAGGGTTCTAGAGGGGAGGGGGGTGGGAGGATGGGTTGGCCTGGTGGTGGGTATTGAGGGGGGCACGTTTGCATGGAGCACTGGGTGTTGTGCACGAACAATGAATCATGGAACACTTCATCTAGAACTAATGATGTAATGTATGGGGATTAACATAAGAATAAAAAAAAATAAAGTTATAGGGGCTTCTAAACATGGTAGAGACACAGATGATGTCAGAATGCTCATCCAGATAGGCGTGAAGGCACTGATGACGTCACCTGATGTAAAGCTGTGGTTGGCAGTGATGTGTATCTTTGGTGCATAAAATGGAAAATGAAGTATGAATTAATGTGGTTTGGCAAATACAGTCTTTCAAAACATAAGCTCTGTTTCATGGGGGGAAAGAGATACTAAAAGCGAGCTACTGGTGGTAGAACGTTTGGGACCCTCCAGACAAGAGGATGGTAATAATAGACCATCTGTTCAGGCCCTGGTCAGCCTTTCACTCGCCTTGGGTCCTGTGTGCGCAGCAGCTCCAGATGCTCTGGTCTTGGGCCGCGTGGTGAGGACCGGAATTTCAGGCAGTGTAGGGACAGAGTGCAGAGCTGGACCCAGGTCTTGTGGACCCCAGGACCTGAATATCTTCTTCCCCCCAGACTTCTCCATCTTTAATTCCCCCCGAGTCTATGTCATATAGCCAAAATGAGACCCTGTCTGCGCACCCACCTGCGTGATTGTGCTCTGCCTGGGGCACCACCTGCCTGTGGTGGTGGTGCTGGGGGGGTTTGGGGAGGGGCAGTGCCTGGGAAGCCAAGAGACAGAAGCACCCATTGCTTCTCGCCAAAGACCCCTTCCAGTCCGTGAAGGCAATTCTATGTGAGATCATGTACTTCCAGAAAAGCCGATCTAAGATTTAATGGTGTTTTTATGTCTTGGATCTTTTAGGGGAAAGAAGGTCCTCCTGGCCCCCAAGGTCCATCTGGATTACCCGGAATCCCAGTAAGTGGCATTTAAAAAAAAAAACTGGTTTCTCCACTACAAAAATGAGCAAACAAAAATAGATTCCACAACTGTTAAAGCAAGGCATGGTCCCTAGGGGAGTTTCCAGGGCTCCAGAAAATGAGAAGGATAATCACTAACCAAAGCCAGGTATGTTTTTGGTGGGGGTCAGTCTTTTTTTTTTTTTAAGATTTTATTTATTTATCTGAGAGAGAGAATGGGAGACAGAGAGCATGAGAGGCGGAGGATCAGAGGGAGAAGCAGACTCCCCGCTGAGCAGGGAGCCCGATGCGGGACTCCAGGATCATGACCTGAGCTGAAGGCAGTCGCTTAACCAACTGAGCCACCCAGGCGCCCCTGGTGGGGGTCAGTCTTAACCTCATTCTTTCATGCAGTAGGTGCTGTTGTTGACTTGTGTAGATGGCGTTTGCCTCTGTCCACACACACACGCATGTACATACAGAGTTGAGACAGCACACGCACACATAGGCGTGCACAGCTGTGAAAATTCACTATCTGTGAGAATAGAAACAGTTTGTTTCCCACACTGGTGTTAAATGTTCATGTGCTCATTAAATTTTACATAGGCTCTACCCAATAAATATACCATAATATATATGATCATTCTTCTGTGGCCTCAGAAATTGTACAGTTATTGGAGAAAACTATAATAAGCTCGTTCGCATGCATGGCCCTTTTCCGTTTTCTATTCGATGGTCCACAAAGGTGGGGTTGACTCGTCAGGTACGATAATATCTGAGGTTCTTGATACATACCTCCAGATTACTTTCTACAAATACTGTTCTGGACTTTTACATTCACTATACTTCCCAGTGGGTTGGAGCTCTTCAGGGTGTTAGTAATAAGGCTGGTCCAGGGAGGCCATGTGCTACCTTCTCTGTGGAGAATGAATCCCTGTGGGGCTTGTGGACTGGCCTGGGCCGACTGCTGGGGCCTCTACTGGCCACAGTCTTCCACCCCTGCCCTGCATGATGATGGGCTTTATTGCGGCCAAACTGGTTTCCTTTTGGTTCCTAGAATGCTCTGCATCCTCTCCTCTACAGACCACAGAATTTTGCACATGCATTTCTGTCTACACAGAATGCCCTTCCTCACCTCTTGCACCAGTTGATGCCTTTGATTCTTCCCTTCCCATCTCAGGCATCAGCCCTGGAAAGTTCTCTCTGTCCCCCCAGGCTGGGGCAGGCTCTCCTAGTTTCTTTTCCTTTCTTCCTGAGTACGCATTTGAGCTGTAGCACATCTTTATTTGTGTAATGGTTTGATTAGTGACCACCACCTCCATTATGCATTAATTGATTCGCTCATTCAACCAACTGTCTTTAGGAGCCTACTGTTTGCTAGACCTGGGGACAATAGAGAGGAGTGCCTGCTAATCATGGGGCGATGCTCTAGGCCATGGGTTCTAGAAGACCAGGCTTTTGCTTCCCACACATAGTGAACACTCGGCAAATAGTAATTAAAGAAACAGGTGGATGAATGAACTGTTCTGCGAGAGCCCTCCCTCCTGGAGTAGCTGATAAGTGCCCCCCTCCACCCAGGAGGCATTTCCCGGGCACCATCGACGGTCCCTACAGCCACGAGACCCCGAGGTTGAGTAACCTGTGCAGGGATGTGAAACCCCTTTTGGTCTAAACGGCAGCCCAGTAGCCTAGCCTGTCCTGGCAGCTGGGAAGAACTGACTTATTTAATTCTAGCAATAGTGAAGCTAGGGAGAGAAAGTCCCGGTTTGGATTTGTGCCAACCCCTTACCACTAAAGTCTTAGCGTGCAGGAGAAGAGAGACCTGCCCTTAGGTGTGACTATGTGTACTATGCAGACCCCATCCTGTGGCTCAAACCTAAGCCAAGCCTGGGTGTGTGCCTCCCTGGTGTCCCATGAATGGACCCTGCTTTCCTGTCTCTCGCCCCACCCCCACTCCCAGCCTCCCTGAACTCCTTTGCTTCTTCCATGGCATTCCTGCCTCAGAAACGCTTCCTCTCCCTCTGCCTGGACAATAAGAATCCTCATCGCTTTCTTGTGCACAGTGCTCACCCCCTGGCGGGCTCCGTGCAGAGAGCTTTCCGCACGTTAATGCATGTACCCCGTGCCTCGGGCCCCCTCAGCCGTTCATCCTGGGGTCCCAGCTGAAGGTTTTCTCCAGGAGGCACCCTGAGCTTCCGCAGTGGCTTAGGTAGAACTGAGCTGTGTTTCAGGAGCCCTCAGCCCTGTGCCATCACAGCAACCACACACGCCTGTTCATCTCTGTCCACCCGCACCACGCCGTGGGCCAGCACAGCGCCAAGTACTGACCAGGCCAGCATGCGAGGTACCAGGAGGACCCAGCCCTCATCCCCCCTCGCGCGCAGCCTGAAGTCTCATGGAGAAGCCAAAGAGAAAAGGAAGAAACCATTGACACAACACATGATGCGCTATATGATAGAGGGGGACCCAGGGGCCACAGAGCCCAGGGGTGGATACCCAAGCCAGACCCGAAGGGGTATCTGGGGAGGTGACATTCAAGGAGAGTGTTCAAGGTCAAGTAGTCTAGGCAGAGAAAGATGAGAAGAGGCAGGAAGAAGGCCTTTCAGGTAGAAGGAGCAACATATAAAAGACACGGTCGTATTTACGTACAGGAACTGGCTATAAGAAGTGTTGAACGTTAAGAAGTGGCTTCCACGTCTGGTAGGGGCTGTGAGGGATGCAGTGCAACCTTCTGCTGACACTCACCGAGCACCCACATGATGTTTTGTGAAGAGGAACAACACACCTCCCCATTTATTAAGCACGAGCTCTGCGCCATGCTGTGTACCAGAAAGACCCTATATATTCCTCTGCCTGCAGGAGGTGAGAGCGTCCCTGCAGTTTATTGAAGGTGCAGAAACAGGCCCTGAGATGTTGAAGGTGTCAGCAGCCCGTCAGCTAGGGGCAGCCCTTCTCTCTTGCAAAGCCACCTTTCCTTCTCACACGATTCGCTAGGCCACACTCAGCCCACCTTTGCTCTTCCCCTACTGGTGCTCGCGCCTTTCCCGGCGACCTCATGTCTGTGCCAGGAGTCCTGGGGTCTCCCGCCAGCCTCCAGCCAGAGTTCGCAGGTCTGCCCGTGTCTCTTCCTGCGGCATCGGCTTTGTCTTCCGTGCACGGCTGCGGCTACATGCCTGGGGAGGAGTGGTTTCGGGGTTAAACTCTTATTTGAAAAGAGGACTAGTACAAGGGCGCCTGGGTGGCTCCGTTGGTTAAGCGTCTGACTCGTGGTTTCAGCTCAGGTCATGATCTCAGGGTCCAGGGTCGTGGGATTGAGCCCCGCATCAGGCTCTGCACCGGGTGTAGAGCGGGCTTGCAATTCTGTCTCTCCCTCTGCCCCCACCCCCACCCCCCTTTCTCTCGCCCTCTCTGGGGCAAAAAAAGAATGCAAAAGAGGATCAGTATAGCCTGGCCTTGGCAGCAGCCCCGCAGGTGTATGTGGTCAAGTCATCTGTGCCAGGAGCAGCGTTCGTGAAGAGTTATGGGTGCCACTGAGCATCGGCCAGCAGCCCAGGGGGCCAGTAAACTTAGATTCCTGTCCCCAGTGGCTTCCCAGCAGTGTCAAGCTGCTGACGTCGAGGGAACTGATGAGGAATCATGCACGGTTTCACGAACGCCTGCAGCAGCACGAGGAGCCCCATTGCTGGGGCCATTTATCGATGCCTGGTTTGTTCAGCCTTGCAAGCTGGAGCATCGGTTCTGAGCCGCCTGGTGACGCTGCGGGGCAGGATTGCCATCTCTTTTTAGGAGAAGGGAACTGAGGAGCTGAGAATACCAGTAACTTGCCCAAGATCATATGCCTAGTAGTGCCGGCAGGGTTCAGACCTAGCCTGGTTTGACTCAGTTTCCCCTCTGTCCTGCTGCCTTGTGGCTTTCTTTCCCCAGACCCCACCCAGTGCAGGTGGCCCAGGATTGGAACCCAAGTCTGTGTGATGTCATAGTCATTGTACAGAATTATTTTCCCACTTGCAGAGGCTCCTGAAGAATACTGGTCTCTTGGATTAACACAAGGCTTATGGCGTCCTCCCTTAGAGCGGGAGGTTGGTTACAGGGAGGGGGATCACAGCTAGATTTCACAGAGAGAAAGGCCAAGTGTCCATGCAGAATCCTTGCTGTCATTCTCTGAGCCCCTGTATGTTCGTGGGGCTGTGCCCCGTGCTCTCCTGCATCTCCTCACCATCTCTGTTGGTAGCCGCGTCCTAACCTCCTCATCACTATGTTCAATCCAGGAGGCCCAGCTATGAGGCACCATTGTCCTAAGTTCGACTTTGGGAAATGTCCAGTGTGGGGCTTCTTTAGATCAATAGCACTGATAATGATGCTGTTGCAATTCATTTCTTTTCCACTCTGTGCCAGGCTCTGCGGATCAGAGATCCAAGCCAGAGTTGTGGTGTTGGGAAGGAACCACGATGTCAAACCAGTTCTGTCTGTGGACACGCCCCCGGAGCCCCTAAGGGCGGCTGTGGCCACGCACTAGGCGTGCACCCCCAGCAGAACCCCATCTTTCCACCCAGCACCCTTGGCCAGAGATAACGGTTAATTTGATTTCTCTTGCAGGGAGAAGAAGGGAAAGAGGGCAGAGATGGAAAACCAGGTCCCCCCGGCGAGCCGGTAAGGGGCTCTAAATTTCTTACAATTGTGCAGGCCAAATGAGTAATTTCTCAGCAACAACCGCTCTGTGTTGAGGAGCTACTATGACTCAGGCATAGTAAGAGTTACTTCATTTATTTCTCCTGACCACCCTGCAGGGTGAACACTGCTGTCCCATTATACAGCTGAGAAAACCGAGGCTCAGGGAGGTGAAGTGATGGGCCCAAAGTCACACAATGGGCTGGTGACAGAATCAGAACCGGATGCCAGGGCTTCTGCCCATCCTCTGCATTTTTTTCTTACTGCCCCGTGCAGCCTCCATCCCGTTGACTTGGGAGGGGAGCTGGGGCAGGTGAGGCCCCGCTGGAGTAGAAACCTGATGCCTGAAAGCCCGTTATCCCCACGGAAGCCCTGAGCTTCTCCCATCAGCTCCAGGTGGTGGGAGTTGGCCCTTTCTTCAATTCTGGTATAGAGCTGTAGGGTTTTTCTTTTGTTTTGTTTTTCCTTTTTCTTTAACGTTACCTGTCCAGGACACAGAGTGAGGCAGACGGAGTGCACGTGAGCAAGTCTCTGCCTCAGTAGCTGTTGGCTGGAAGTGTGAGGGCTTTCTGCACACCCAGATCTGTGACCTCCTCGTTGTCCTGCCACAGCTGGCCACTGTTCTCCCCTGTGGGTCAGGGCCCATGGTGATGGCACCTTGGTCTCCCCAGATCCCTTCCACAGCCTCAGCCTCGAGGGGAAGCTGGAAGGTGGTGTCTGGGCTTCGAGACCCGGCTCCCCACATGCCCACCAGTAGGAGAGTAGTTAGTGATGGGGCACACCCAGTCGCATACTAAGCAGCCCCGAGGAAGGAGGAGGACGCCCTCCCGACACGGACGTGAAACTCCTCCAAGATGGATTGTTAAGTAAAAAAGCAAAGGTACAGAGCGGTGTGCTTAGCCTGCCCTATTTAGTATAAAAGCAGGCCTATGTGTATTTTTCTAGTGTTTACATAATGGCAGTCCGGGGGACTCCAAAAGCACCTCTAACGGTCGTCACCATCCACCGTAGGGTGATTCTGGGCAGAAGGGGCGCAGGGGCGCAAAGGCAAGTCTATGCTCTGTGGTGAGTGATTTTATTATGGAGCCATTGGTATGCATTGCTTGCTGATAACATGTAATTTAAAATGAACCGAAATATTTTATGCCAAAATGACAAGCACAGCCAGAAGAAGACCCTGGCTCCAGATGCTGGCTCCACTCCAGACCGGGCCCAGGGCCTGGGGTGAGTCGGGAAGCGTCTCCGAGATGCTTTTTCAATAGAACGAGAGTCATAGTAGCAACTCGTTAGAGTTGCTGGAGAACCCAGTGAGGTGAGAAACCGGCAGAAGGCATCAGGCTCGCCTTACTGTTGATGACTTCACCAACCCCCCTGGCTGTGACTCCTGGTGAGGTCAGGGCTCCAGAGCCCTTAGATTAGAGCCGCGGCTTGGGATAACATAAAATTTTCTACAGCGAGGTTTATGTTCCATTTAATTTGTTTGGTCATAAACCATTATGACTCGTTCCACACCTTACGCAACTTGCCAGAAGCACCTTCTTTAACATTTTTCAGCTCTGCCAGATGCTGGAACCAGAATACACTGCTGAGAGCAAAAGAAAGCGCTCCTGGCAGCGAGCAGAGTCCAGAGCGCCCGCCAAGCCGCTGGAGGCTGAGGCCCAGCAGGGTGGTCTGTGGCGGGCACGTGGCAGTTAGTGGGGTGAAAATGTGGGAGGCGAGAGAGGACAGATATCACCACCGGGTGCCCACCTAGGGCTGGGGTACTGACGCTTTGTTACATTTTCCACTGTAATCCCCAGAAAATCCCCATGGGGCATGGTGTCATAATTGCCCCAGATGAGGAAACGCACAGAGAGGTTAAGTGAGCTGGCCGAGGTCACACAGCAGGTAAATGAAGCTGCCAGGACTCACGCCCCAGAGGCTGACCCCAAAGGTCAGTACTGCAGAACAGGAAGTCAGCTTTTCTGCGGGAGTGTTATTCTGAGAGCTGACGTTTATGGTACAGGAGGACTGGGGCCCGTGGTCTTCATTTGGTCTGTTTATGGATCACCTCCTCCAGGTAGGCCTCAGGCATAGAGCAATATGAGACCAGGTCTGTTCTGGGTACATGGGGGGGGACATCAGTCCCTGAGGAGGCAGGGCTGGTCCTGCTGGAAGAGGTGGCCCAGCAGCTCCCCTCCGGGGGCGTGCCAGAGTCCTCCAGGCATGCATTCTGGAATCTCAGCCTGTGGCCAGTGTGATGTCTTCTCTGTCTGAGCTGCTTAGGAAGTTGGCATAGGAATGAGCAGTGTCAGGTCGCGTGAAAGCAGCCCTTTTAGAGACAAGGATTATGTTGCAGGTGGGGTCTTTGGGAAGTGACCTCAGGAAGCACCGAGGGCAGGAGGAAATGAGACAAGGAGAGAAGGAAAGCCACAGACATCAGGCGAGTGAGGCAGGCAGCCGGGCCACGGTCACTGCAGACCCTCTGAGAATTGGTGAGGAGCACACTTGCCGTCCTGCTCCTACCCCAGCCAGGCTATTCATCCATCCATAGACCTGAAGCCCTTTTGAAATCGAGGATTGCTCCGGGAGGCAGCAACTCGCACATTAACTTGCACACTTCGGTGTCACGCACCCCCGAAGGCCAATCTGTGCATGGGCCTCAGCCTGGGCGGGAACTGTTCAGCGCTGACAGGTGCCCTCCTCGGTGAGCCAAGGGGACCTACTTGGGAAGCAGCATTCACTACAGGTAGTAGGTAGTTCGTCTTCACGTTGGCGTAGTCCTTCAAGTTCCTCTGTGTTAGGGACATGGATGGACAGACAGACAGCAGTAGATAGGTGGATAAATGATGGATGGGTGACTGGATGTGGATAGATAGATGTGTAGATACATAGGCAGCTGTTTGAGTTGCGTGTTGTGTAATCTTTATTAGGAGGCATTTGAGCTATAATTGTGGTGTAGGATGATGTACGGAGACTCTAGAGCCAAAATACCTGGATTAGAACCCCAGCAGTGTGACCTTGAGCAGATCACTTAACTTCTCTGTGCCTCAGTGTTTTGCCCGGTGGATAACAATGGCGCCTCCCTCATTGGGTTGTAGTAAGGACCCAGCGACTTACCATGTGAGGCACTCATCTTGTGTCTGGAATGTGGAAATCCCTCAAGAGTTGCTGTGCGTTACCATTTTCCTGCTGGTGACTTGGACCAACGATGACCATGTCACTTGACTGTGGAAAGCATGGGAACCAGGCTAGGCCATGTACCCTCAGTCACAGAGTCCCATGAGGGCGACTGTGCTGAGTTTGCAACTGAGAACAGATCCAGGGAAGGGAAGGGACACTGAAGATCACACAGCAGTGCTTGGACCAAACACCAAACCTGGAAGTCAGGGCTTTGTGTGTCCTCTTTTCTGAGATTTCCCCTCCACCAAGGACGCCCCTTTCCCTCTCCTACCCTGCTCTTGGGCTCCGTCTGATCCTTGGGGTTTACAAGCTGTGAAAAGGAGTGGAAACTGGGGGGTGGGATTGCCCTCCTGTCACAGTGAAGGTGGGGCCAGGTGCTACCCCATCTTCCATCAGTCTGACAGGCCCTGTCACCATCTCCCTGCCCCTCCACACCCCCACGCTGACCACATCGCCTGGGCTCAGCAGCCAGGCTCCCATTGGCTGTTATTTGTGGCTGGTTCTGCCCACGGAAGCACTGGGACGCTGGTGGTGAGGACTTTGAATAGCCCGAGTGTCCCCATAACTTCTCGGCATTAAGAGAAGCTGGACCGGGGAAAGGAGGGGTAGATGACAGGCTTCCCTGTCCGCGGCAGCTGCTGGACGAGAAAGACATCCTTTGGGGTGGTGCACCCAGCTGGGGCTCAGTCTGGCCATGCTGTTCATTAACTCGGCGAAGCGCTAGCTTCTTGGAGCCTCAGTGTTCCCTGTTGTCACATGCGATAGTTGATGGCTGCCTTGAGGTGCTTTTGTGAATGAGTACAGAGTCATTCGTAACGAGGATGTCTGCCTGACTCTGCATCCAGACCAGAATGCTTCTGAGGACGATCAGGGGCCACTAGGAACAGTGGGTTCAGAGACCACATCTGTGCAGCACAGTCCGAGGAAACCAGGAGCGTGGTAGCTGGGTACGCTGGCGTGATCCGTGGGCTCTGCAGTGGGGCACAGCGTCCGCGGAGCTGGTCGGCGGGGTCAGAAACGGGCTGGGGGAAGTGTGACAGGCGCCAAGCAGCGAGATCCTTATGACGATGGCCCCAAACTCTTCTCTTCTCTACTCTCAGGGCAAAATGGGAGAGCCTGGTCTGCCAGGACTGGAGGGAGCCCGAGGCCCACCTGTAAGTGCCTGTGTGTGTGTGTGTGTGTGTGTGTGCACGTTGTCCATGTAGAACGCAGCCGTCAGCCTCACGGCTCATACGCTGTGCCCGCCCCACCCTGGATTTCCA